AGGTATATATACGTACACACCCTACATAAAACAAAGTAAGTAGTATTTATTGACTCTGTAGTTGTATCTACTGACTGTACAGTAGTATCTACTGAGCGAATAGTAGCTACTGACTGTATAGTAGAATATACTGACTGTAGCAACTACTGACCGTAGTAGTATCTACTGGCCCTACAGTACTATCTACTGACTGTAGTAGTAACTGCTGACCATAGTAGTATCTACCGACTCGATAGTAGCAACTACTAACTCTATAGTAGTGTAATGACAGTGTGGAGTGATAGCTTACTAATGGACGGGCTAATGATGATTAATGAGACAAGCATTAACAGGGTCACGTGAGGGGGGGCATGGAATCCAATGGCTGGAAAGTGAAATAAGGGCAGTGATCGGCAGGGCCAGGTGCGGTGAGGAGAATTCAGGAATAAGGGCGTGGCCAGACCGGGTGAGGATAAGTAGCAGCGCAAGCGGAGACTTGGGGCTGCTTGGTGTGGGGAACTGCCGTCGTCGTCGCCTTGGATCGGGTCATCTCAATTGTCTGCAAGTTGTCTTGAGACTGGAAGCTATGTTGTCTCAGAATAGAGTTGTGTCGATACCCAAGTGTACGGAGTCACTCACGGTTACGTGTTGAGTTGTCATTAGACTTTATTCTTAATAAATATGTTGTATCGTAGACGGAGGTACTCGGAGACGGAGGTTGAGTTAGGGGCTTCCGCCAGGGTTTATTAACACTTATCACTATCCCTGGTTCCCTCTTTACCCCTTCCACTATCCCCGTTCCTCCAGTGACCCCGCTTACGTTACGGGGTCTCCCTTATATACCCTCGGAGGGGTGATGTCACGTGCACTGCCCAGCGCGTGCGACCCCACGTCCCGTGAGGTCACCGCACCGGACAGCGCACACGACGCCACCACTCTCCTCTACTCCTCTACAAATATACAGAAGACAAGATGGCGTGGTATATAATGACGATAGTAGTAACTACTAACTCTATAGCAGTATCTACTGACTGTATAGTAATTTAGTGTGTTATTATTGAGGCACACACAATATTTTTTTAGGCAACGCGTTTAATAAACGACTACACTAATCACTGAGTTCTACAGTTAAATGTGGCTATACTGTTAATTGACTTCACTGTGTGTGTGAGTTTGCTGAACAAACGGGCCAGCCAGCATATACGCTGCCTGACCCAGGATCCTAAGCTAAGACTCCCCGCGAATGAGGAGCGAAGAGCGATGACCGAAGACCGACGGCCCCTTGAGTTGATCCCCACGAACGAGCCACAAATCCCCGAACGCGATCCCCATTTATCCCTTGGCCCTGGCCCCTCCCCTTGCTGTATCAAGGATGGTGCCCTAGCTTCCGGCCACGTGTCCTTAACTCGTGCAATCGGACACCGCTTCCGGTCACTTGCCCTTAGCTAGTCCAATCGAGGCCCGCTTCCGGTCACATGACCTTAGCTCGTCCAATCGGGGCACCCGGCGCTCCTCCAGCACTGTGGCTGGCGCGACCCACTGAGACATCTGTGTCTCTACACTTACAGTAGTGGCTGTATTCACGACACTACACTAGCGTCTACTGACTGTATAGCAGTATCTACTGATTGTAGTAGTATTTACTGACCGTAGTGGTAAGTACTGACTGTTTTACTATCTACTAAATCTATATAGCAGTATCTACCAACTCTATAGCAGTATTGACTATCACTGCAGCAGTGCATACCGACTGTGGTGGTACCTGCTATCACTACAGCAGTGCATACTGACTGGTGGAACCTGCTATCACTGTAGCTGTGCATACCGACTGTGGTGGAACCTGCTATCACAAACGTAATCATTGAGGGTTAAATGTACGGATCAATGAGGAGAACATCTCCAGGAGTACTGTGTTGACAATTCCAAGCATAAGAGTTCGAATATTAGTGTTATGTTTTTGGTTAGAAATAAAAATTGCTTAACACAGAAGTGTCTGAGTGGTGCCTTTCTAAGTTCATGCATAATAATCTTAATTATGAGAACTGTATCCTGCGGTGAGATTAGAATTTGGAGACCTGACATGAACACACTAAGACATAAGCAGTAAATGTTAAAGCGAGAATCATTGTATTATCCAGATTGATAATACAACCCTAGACAACGAAGCAGAACCTAATTATCATAACTGCATATATTAGTATAATTGCATTCATTTGCGAAACTTAATACAATTACAACTTCATGATTAGCATAATTGATGTGCTTAATTACACAAATTAGCATAAATTCGGATAATTATGCATTTTTCCATTTTCGTTAAATTTTTATTATTTTTATTAATTCTTCAAGACCCGACATATACAACACCCCCCACCATCCCCCTGCTCGCTCTACAATAATACTATCTGAGCGCTATAATATTAGTATCTACCGACCCTATAGTAGTAAGTGCACACACTGGAGTGGGGGCAAGAAGAGGTTTCCCCTTTTTTCTGGCAAAAAAAGAGGGGAAAGCCTATTCTCATATTTTGGTACTACCAAAGGCGGTCCCATGATGTAACTGCTCACCCCGAGCTCTCATTACTCTGATAATGCTTGTCTTTGAGCTGTACGCCTTTTGGCCTCCTCTGGTCTAACACCGTTTTTAGACTAGGCTCAAAAGAAAGCTGTCTCTGGTGTGGACCAATCAGTTTCAAAGACAACGCAGGAGCGTCTCCTCGGCAGAGAGATGCGGGAGCCGCTGCCTCTTGCGGGGCCGCCGAGGCCGGATGCACGCCCAGTGCCTCATCCCTCATCCTCCGAGCCCGAAGCGGCCCCGGCCTCAGAGCTCAAGCTCTGGCAGGACCAGGGTGAGCCGAACCCTGCTGCTGAGCCAGGCGAGACCAAGGCTCCCCAGGGCACCAGGCCGCAGTGCTGGGACTCCACCAAGACCATTGTCACCCCCTAACCCCTCACACACTCATTCCCTTCCCTCACACATTCACCACTCGGGTCGCCTCCTCGCTCGCTATTCACAGCGAGCGAGGAGGAGGCCTGTTTGTTGCCAGAACCCTAACCCTATTCTAATATTTTGGTACTGGCAAAGGAAGTCCCATGATGTAACTGTGTTATTTTAATATTTCTACCCCGTCCGAGCAGAATATCCAGAAATGGTACAGTTCTGTCAGCTCCACTTCCATGATGAACTGGTACCGCCCACGGAGTTTCGCAACATGTGTGATCCACCAACCACTCGTCTCCAGTCCTGGATTATAAGCGCGAGACACCACCGCCTGGATGCACACCAATACGATGTATTTGATTTTGTTTGTTGCCTTATCCATGTTGTTCCTCTTTCTGTCTTCATGTAATTCTGAGCATGCATCTCACCATGCTTTCAAAGCCTTTCAGCTTTTGTTCAATTTTATTGTGAATGTCAATGTTTCTGATCCACTGATTAAATCGGTTCTTCATTCGGCACATTACTAAGTTGCTTTTCATAATTTCAGACCTAAAAAAACACGACAATCTGCTCTCGTTTGCCTTTAATAAATGAAATGTAATCATTTCAACTTGTAACATGCAGGCGCTGATTTCCCAAGCTCAGGTATACTGCCTCCTACCGTCGTATTATATAAACTACTAGCGGGAAGTACCTGGCGTTGCCCGGGTCAAAAAAATATTTCAAACCTACTCTTAAAAATCTAACAGCAGTGCATACTGTGGTGGTACCTGCTATGATTACAGCAGTGCATACCGACTGTGGTGGTACCTGCTATCAATACAGTAGTACATCCCGACTCTATAGCACAAAGTACTCACCTGACAGAGTGGTGAGGCCGAGTCCCATGCAGAGCCTCCGGCCTCGCCTAGATTGTCCAACCGGCTGATGTGGCACCTTTGGAGACTGGGGCGAGGCTGCTACCCCTGACCCCCCCCCCTCCCCAGCCACGATCTCCCCGGCCGCTCTGCAGTAATATGTACAGCCTATAGTAGCATGTCCCGACTGTATAGTAGTAACTGCACGCATCGGGGTGGGGGGGACATCACACAGTGAAGAATTGACCTGAGCGTTTAGTGTATTTTTATAGCACTTTTAACGCTAAAGAAAATGTCCCCCTCACTCCCACCGAAGGCGTGCGACTTGGCATTGGCCGTCCTCCCCACCAAAGGCGCGTGAGTTGGTATGGCCGTGTACGAGTCATAAATAAATAAAGCGCACAGAAATTGCATAAAAACGCTAAACTAATTTAAAGTTGACGGATGTGAAAAAGGAATAGCGCTTGCTCACGGCGGGGCTTACAGCGTGGTACCTGGCTATTTTTATTTTACGTAAATCCCACCATTGGAGACGCAAATCCTTCGCAAGCGCACACACAATCAATGACACAAACCCAAAGACAAATTTTGACTTGTATATATAGATGTAACACGATTTTTGTCCCTGGGTAGTATTATTTTTTAATTGGTTGTGCCAAAAAAGTATATAAAATGGCTATCATTCCCCACAAACTTTGTTTTGTGACCAGGACTTTGTGAAGGAATTACAGAAATGCACACGTTTTCACATTGAAAATAAGTACATTTCAAAATATCACAGTCCTGGTCACAAAAGCAAAGTTTGTGGGTAAAAATAGCCATTTTCTGTACTTTTGAGGCATAAGCAATTAGAAAATAACACTTACTACCCAGGGAATTTGTTTTTGTTACAGTGAATTATTACACTGCAACTGGGTACGATTCAGCATTTCCATCTCTGAACGATCCACCAATTCAATCTCCCAAGTCAGTGTTAAGGGCATGTGCGGCCACCACAAAATATCTGTATCGTAGCAAGATGCCTATACTCACTTAACAAGGTCTAAATAAGCCAGATATTAAGCGAAATTTAGTGAACCATAAAAGACAATTACGTTGAATAAATGAGTCTCAATAGCCAATACCAGAATACATGGCATTCTCTAAATTACCCTAATAACTTAACGAATACAACTGACAATGGCCAAAACCTTCAATAACATTTCATAACAGTCACCAGACGCTCCATCGTAAGGTATTTTATTAGAAACAAAGTCAAGTGCACAATCATACTATTACTCCACGACCATACAATTATTGTGGGTGGTGCTCAACTCGATTTCTGGTCTTAAGCCAGTGACAGAAATTCCACATTCCTACAAGGTCCAGTCTGTTGATTATAACGACCACTGTTGACTTCCTATGAAGTTGTACTCGTATAATATTATTCACCCCGAAGGTATAATGGGAAGAGCTGACACCCCGGTAGCGACTTTTTACTTGCACCAATTCGTTTGCGCGTCAAACTACCATGCCAGAATATTTGTACCTCGATTCGAACAATGTATTTGTTGTACACCATCAAGAACTGGGTTTTAGGCACGTACGTTAAGCCCAGTTCCCAGAGGGCCATCTCCATGCTGTTGTCAATGAGAAATAGTGCAGCCAGCTATTGTAGGAAAAAAATCCAACTGGGGTCATTGAAATCGGTATCAAGCAGGAAGGCTGCACAATATGGTCAATGGAGGTCAACAAGTGGTCATCCTATGGAGAGCCTTGGTTCCCAACCAAGGAATGTCCAATTTCCACCACTGGCTCAGGATTGCCAATGGAAGTAAGGCACCGAACAATGCTGGCTTAAAAGGGACACAAACCGATACTTTTTTTTATTGGTGCAATGCTACCAAATCCCAAGAAACCAAATTACAAATGTGCAAACTTAGCATATGGCTCACACGTTTACATGTTGTCTTGTACACAATTGCTGCCAAGCGTGCACATGCTCTTGGCAGGCAATGTCCCTTTTGACAGCCACTGCTTTGAAGAAGCCCCTCAAGTACCTCCCCCCTCAAAACAATGCAATGGCTAACCATCGCAAATTACAATTTAAATAACTGATTTAAGTGTCTATATATGTAATACACAGGAAGCATATGCTACAAAAACAATATAAAATGAACTTTCTGCTACAGAAATCATACAGATTTATAAAATATGCAATAGGAAATTAGACAAATTTAAATCATTGTATAAGCTTGATTCAGCCATCATGCATCAAGTCTTTACCTCTTAAGCTTATAATTTAGATCTGTTCAGCAAAAATAGTTTCAAGTTTACAAACACAAATGAGTTGGTGTTATGGAAAGGTGCACATAGTGTGTTTGTGTGTACACCCAAGCATACATTATCTGGACAGGTGGTGCTCCAGTTAAGTGCCCAACTTGCAAATTGGTGGGTCGCGACTTCAAATATTGGCCGTGAAATCCACTCAGCCCCTTCATCCCTCTGGGGTCAATAAAATGCCGACCACTCTGGAGAAAAAATAAACAGTGGTCGTGCTGTAAAGGAACTGACCCTTGTCACTGGAATGTGATTCAGGACTGCCAACAGAGATGAGCAGCACCACCCCAATACTTGTACGAACAGGGAGATACTTTGACTTGCCCATACAACAATGTACTATACAAGGACATGCTGTACATAGTACTAATTTTGTTTTAATTTAATTTCTTACCATGATGTCTACACGCTAATGGATAGTACATATACAAGCATGTGCTCAATCGTACGGACATGGGTAATGACACATGCCTAACTATTTTTGCAGAACAAAAATCAATAGCCACTGGCAGATCTCTCATATAACAAACTGATTTCTGTACAAGATCGCAACATTGATCAAAGTGAAGACATTTACTGACCCCCACTTATGTTTTTGTATTTATAATTTCCACATTTAACAATTATCACAGACACGGCAATACATTTTCTTACAATGTCAAACAAGAAAAAAAATCCGTTACATAGCTCAACATGACAATTACCAGCTGGTAGATGTAATAAAAGAACCATAGCTGTTCATACACACAAAAGCCTGTGCTGCTCACACACAATAGCAAGGCTTTGCACAACTGTGCAAAACTCTTGACAATGACAGCCAACCGTAGCTGAGCAGAATGCAGAAAGATATTGTCTAAGGGGGCAACACCAGCAACTCAAGGCCGTGTCTTAATAAAATCAGTCAGCAAACTCACATCTCTGGCTTTTACAAAGCACTTTCAATAAGATTGGTTGTCCATTCTCACATCAGTCTGTTTAAACAGCGATTGTTCGATTAGAAGCCTGGATCATGCAAAATGAACGTGGAATTTTCATGACTGGCTCAGGATTGCCAATGGAGGATGTGTACTACCTAAAGGCTGTTTGAGCAGACTCCGTGACTTTTTAAAGCACACGCTATGTTAAACACACGTCTTTATAATAATTTCACTGTTTCAATTTTAATCCCAACATGCTTTGGTAAAGTTAAGTTTAGAGCGACAACCTAGTCCCCATGTACAAATTCAGAAGGCAGTGGCATCACAGCAAACAAACCTCTCTACAAAGGCTCGCAAAATTCAAAGCTAGACAGAACACATCTTCCACAGTGGAGATTATTTTTGTTACATTAAATGCCTTTGCCTCTTTATTTAACATGTGACTGACAAACTTGGTTGGAACATTATTGGAAAGCACAAAGGACCTCAAAAGGACAGCATGCTGGGCAATGTCACGGACCGTACGATGGGCACGTTTTATAATCCTTGTGCGGTGCACTTCCTCCACAATGCTGCCCGGTACACAAGCAGCGCGCTGTATGTGTCTGTTTTGCTCCGACACATATGTGGGTACGTCTGTCCACAAAAGCCCCCACCCCACTACGCATGCGCAAATTCTGGACGCCCGATAGCCCAAGACCACTAAACAGGGTGTCAGAATGTAGCACACGTGAGAAAGAATTACATGGTGGCATATTTGTCTAAAAATAATATATTGTATATTCATATATAGCATTACTGTACACCTGTGTACATGGGGATAGGATGGCTCTATGTGGTTGCGTTTACCCATAAATTGACTTGCCCAGTGCCTGCAACACTAGCAGCGCCACCATCAGCCCCAGGACGAAAACCAGCACCGACAGCAGGACCTCCAGCACCAGCAACACGATACGTCGATGCCCCAATGATGGAATGTTTTCACAGGATTTCTTCTGCAAACAATTGTGGAATACAAATGTTGTAGGTAGTGTATGAGATACTGCCAGACTGTGTGTTTATCCAAGGTGGTGCGTGGGTGGGTGTGTGTGATTGTCAGGCGTGTGTAATAGTGCAAGGTGGTGCGTGGGTGACAGTGCCCAGGTGGTGAGCACCCGTGTTTCTCAAGACACAGTGAGTCCAGCTGGCCAGCATACTGTACGGGCAAGTCCTTGGCGGGTAAATGATGCTGGTTGGATGAGGGTAAGGAAGGGCTGGTGGTGCGTCGGGGCAGCTTCCGCTATTTCCAGGTATGCGTGGCCAAGGACTGGGTCCCCATTCCGGCGCCCCAGACGCCACCTGCACCACCGCTAGGCTGCGCGTATCCGATGACACCAGCAGGCACACCCACCGCCATTCCCGCCATCTGTTGACTCAGCTGGTTTGGTAAACAAGCGCACGTGCACACACGTATGCAAAAAAACAAGGGAAGTACAAGCGAGGGTCATTTAAGCATGTGAACCGTCCCCACCACTGGGTGATGCACACATACAAACCCCCAAACAAATGCACATACATGGGTGCACACCGAAAAATACAAAGACAAAGAGACAACGTTCCCCTGTAAAGCCTTAAACGACTGTTGGGGCAAGTGCTGTTAGCGAGCATCTATGACGGCTGGCATGACACACAAGAAGGGGGGTGGCCAGTACCACAACCATCCACCTTTGTCTCCCCAGAGGGGATGTTTACACCCCAAACCAGGTACTCATTTTAAGGCTGAGTCGACCTAGGAGAGGCCCAAGACCGGTTCAGATATCGTCACTGGTGTTGATCATGAGCGGGAATCAAACCTGGGCCGCCAGGTTTGTAGCGCAGCGCACTAACCACCGTAAAATACGTACCTTCCCATTAACATTTATATGCATAAACAAAAAGTAAACACACATAGGATATGTTTACATACAAATGTAGAAAATTACATGCAAACGTGCAAAAATTGGCACATAACAGAAAAATCCCCATAGAGCCTGAACAGATCTGTTGGGGCAGTGCTACGAGTAAGCACTTAAGGCCGTCACTGCGCACGTCGTGTTATCGCACCACGCTCGGTCACTGCCGACTCCTAACTTATGATGTTTATCCACTGCACCAGGTAATCATTTAAGGCTTAGTCAACTTAGGCAAAGCTTGCCAACTGACATTTCCCATGGCTGGGAATAAAACTCAGGCTGCTGGACTCACAGCAGTATGCAGGTGACTGGATCACCGTTCCCCACTGCGCACGCAAGCACACACGCTCCACACACACACGCCACGCAAATAAAGTACATCTCACCTGGTTGACATTCCACTGGTGAGCAGCAGCGTTCATCTGTGGGGCCATACCATACACGGGCTGTGCCACCATCCCGTGCTGCCCTCCCACCATGCCAGGCCCCACACTCAGGCCCATCATTGCCGGCGTCACTGCCCCTGCATTAGGGCCGTATCCATTCGGCACGCCCGCCATCACCCCAGCCATCTGCTGCTGCGCCATTACCCCCGCCAGCACCTGCTGCTGGTGCACCTGTTGCTGCTGAGCCATTAGACCAGCCATGGCCTGCTGCTGTGCCATTAGGCCCACCATGGCTTGTTGCTGCTGCTGTTGCTGCATTTGCTGCTGCTGCGTCATGCTGCCGGGAGCTCCGTAACCCACAGGAGGCTGGCCGTACGATGCGGCGAGCTGCGACTGCTGTGCGTATGCAGCGCTGGGGGTCGGAGCGTAGTACATGCCTGCGTTTGGCGGTACAAAGAGTGGGGTTCGAGAAGGATTAAGCAGATGTGTGTGCAAACAGCTGTTCATTTCTGGTCTTACTATAGTGCTTAGACTGTTATCATAATTTGAAAGCCACTGCAATGGTTAGTGGGAGCTGTGTGCAAATGGGAGACGAGGAGTTCTAGTTGCGGCCTTAGACGGACACAGAGCAAACAATTAAGAGTGACGCACCGAAAAAGAAACACAAATAGAAAAACAAAGACATGTTTTGGCACCTGGTCCAAACACGATTCACGTGCATAAAAATAGAACTGATCATCGTCCCTCCTATGTCCATAAAATAACACTACTTATAATTCCAGGAAAGAGCACTGGTTACATAAATAATGTTCATCTTTATGAAGAGACTAAATCCTGGTATTAAAATGTGACACTTCCACCACTGGTTTCAACAAATATCAAGCAATGCCCAACACTCACTCGATAGTGGAGACACTTTGACTTGATATAATTAATAGCCTTGCATTTGTTTGGATGGAAAGATTCCACCAAATGTGAGGAGAGGGTGGAGATCTGTGGTCAAATAAGCAAGGGAAATGTATAAGGGCCAGTCTGCAATGCACAAATGAGCTATGGGAATTGGCCATGACCTGAGCATCAGTTGTACTTTTGCATCAATGATGCCACTACCTTGATTGAGGTTCTGGCTGGGCACTGGGCCGTACAGGGACATGATGGAGTCCTTGGTGAGGGGTTTCTTGGCGGCATCCTCTGCCTTGGCCGCAGCCTCGGAGAAAAGACTCAGGTCGCTGTTACTGCCACTGTCAGCACTTTCTGATGCAGGCATTCCTGTTGAGTCCTACAGAGCGGAGGAAGGCACAGCACACATGCAAATTCAAACACAAGCAAAGACAAATATCCCCCACATAGATGTTGGTGCTATCAGCGAGGACCGACTAAGGCTGTCACAGCACACAAAAGAGATATAAGGCCATGAGAATGACTGGCTGCCTTTGTCTCAAGAATAATGATGTCCACACACAGCATCAGGTATTCAAAAAATATGGGTTGACCTACAGAATGGCCAAGATGGGTGAAGAAATCACTTCCACTGCTTATGCTATTCATGACCGGAAATCACTCAAGCAGCCATCATAATTGCATACTGTGCTAACCAATGGAAGCCTATTCTCCACACACATATACAACAAAGACAAGATCCCACATATAGCCTTTAACAGACTGTTGGTGTAAGTGGTGTTAGCGCTTTTAAAGCCTACATGGTACACGAGGGGGTGGGGGGCGAGAACTATCCCCGGCCGCCTTTGTCTCCCAAATGCCGATGTTTAAACACCGCACCAGATACTCATATAATAACGAGTCGCCCTCAGGAAGGCCCAGGACCGATTCAGGTATTTGTCACCGAAATAGAATTCAGGTTGAAGGATTTGTATCGCAATGCAGTAACCAATATGCTGCAACTCTCCACATATAGATGCAGACAAAATCCCCTGTATAGCCTTAACAGACTGTTTGGGGCAAGTGCTGTTAAGCAAGCACCATTTAAGGCCGGTACAGCACATGAGGGGGTGGGTGGCCAGCACCACGCCTGACTGCCTTTGTCTCCCCAGTGGTGATGTCTTTACACACTGCACCAGGTACTCATTTGCGGCTGAGTCGACCTAGTGGAGGCTCAGAACCGGTTCAGATAATTATCATCACTGGTGTTGGCTGCCGCGAGCGGGAATAGAACTCAGGTCGCCGTGTTCATAGCACAACGCACTAAACGCTAATCTACGCTCCCCACATATACATGCACACTCAAACACACATACGCACAAAATACAAATATGTACACACACACAAACGAAAGCACACACATATACACGTACACAAAAACACATGCAAGTGCACACACATACAATTGCAAAAAATGTCATTTGTCTTTATTTCTAAAGCCTGTAGGTAAACATTTACCTCCACAAGATCCATAACCTCAAGGCCAGCAGCAATAAAAGTGGCACCATATGTTAGCTATTAATGTCGAAACGAACAATTGACATTACATAAGGAAATGTCATATCTTTATGAGGAGAGATCACAAATATCAACTTAATCTCACTTGGTTCGATAATGGAGCACCAACTAAATCGGTCACAGCTTCATTTAATTTACATTGGTTACATTGCCTTGGGTTAACATTCATTTAATCACTGCCAAGTAATCAAGGGGCGGTGGTTGGTTGGCTTCAGCGAGTGTCTGTGGAGTCGCGTCATACATCAGGGTCACATCTGTCAGAAGAACAAAAACTCCCAACCCTGGTTTTACTCATGAGTCAGGCACGCGTGCAGAACTGTGTATGCGCACACACCCTTCGCCACGTCAGCAGCTCTGTCCCAATAAGCATTTTACGCATTGTCACATGGCAATTAAATTTGTAGGACTATTCTACAGTGACCTATTGTATTACTGTACAGTCATATATGTATGTTGAACTTTATTCGCACCATACGTGGCCAACCGTGCTAATCGGAGGTAGTCATACTACGGACATACTGGCTGCACCATTGGAATGTGGAATTTCCATAAATGGCTCTGGGCCATCAAGGAAAATGAGCTTTAGTGCATTGCTTGGGGAATGGAATTGTTTTTGTGGACTTATATATATTTTGCTGCTTTGTGATGTAAATAAGATTAATCAAAGTCAACAAAATAACCATGAGTAACATGAATGACCTGCGCATGTATAAATAACCGTGTCACTTATTTATATACAGATGCCACAATGAGTTTCAAAACACTTTTAAAGGCGCGTTCTACATTGGGATGTTTGGCCAATGCCTTTAAGGGTGTTTTGTATGTAGGATGAAACTGGGAGTACCCGGATAAAGCCCACCGACATGAACACGTAAGTAGCACTGGGTATATTTCTGATATACAGACAATTTGTTCTTTAACATGTAATTAACCTAATGTCCAGAGAAAACCCAAGCATATGAAAGAACAATGCTCAAACTACGCCAGAATCCATAGAAATCCCCCAATACATAGTCATGAATAATCCAGGTTGCGAACGATCAGATTAAACTTGACTTGTCTCGGTATGGGGGCTGAGATGTCAGCAAAGGGAAGTGCAGAAAAATCCACTGTACTGAACTAGTCTCCGTCTACACTCCCCACCTTCACCAACTGACCAGCGTGGTCGAGTTTGGTCAAACAATCCACACGACCCACAGGGCGAGGAAAGGCCTTCATCCGGCAGGGGACTGACAATGAAAGGGCTGCATATGTACATACCATACAGAGCTAAGAAGTATGCAAAGGAACGTATGAGTAAAAACCACAGGAACCCGGGAACTCTGCTCTTGCAGGAATTTACTCAACAACCCCTAAGGCAACGCCACGTTGCACGCGTAACACATTTCCGACTGACATTTTAACAAAACCTGCTGGAACTATGTCAGGTATGATAATGAAAACCAAAAAATACACATACGACACACAGCTCTGCGTGCAAACCACTGTATTGTCCAGTGAGTAGGTGGGGTGTCTCCACCAAAGATTGTCTTATTCACGGTGTTTCTGCAACGCATCAATGGCAACTATGAGATGTGGGCTTGAACCCGTGTGCCACTGGCGTGGAGATATGCTTTCATAAAGACTAGTTTAAACAACTTTACTTGCTGCCTTGTATCTACCTGCTGGAGTTGCATTCCTGTGTACTGAAAACATCACAGGGATTCTGTGAATGTTATTTTACAGCATTACAATAGGTGCTTGAAGTGGTTGATTCAATTTTGGCTCCCCAACGACTCCACTGAATTTTCAATGGACATTCCTATGCCCTCCCAAGACCACAAAACCAAACATAGATGAAACTCCCTATAATACCATCTCAGCTTCTCTGATCATTGATCGGTTCCTTAGGTCTCTACTGCTATCAAGGTTGTTACAACAACTTCTCTCATCGCATGTGTACCACTACTATCATGGTAATTGATCTCAGGAGTTATGTGATTCCATCTCTTATTGCTAGGATGCTGTCTCACACTGGTTGACGCCTCACATCTGCACTGTGTACAGCTGCCCTAATTTCAGGAATATTTCACATCCTGGTTCTCTCATCGTACCGGCTTTGGAACTCCATCCCTTCTTGTCTTTCCAACTTTGTAGAACTCAACTGTTCAGGAAAATTCACACCTTTCTCATTACTGCCACTACTATGGTTCTTGCTGTTGTTGCTGCATCGCGTTATAGGAACAGTAGTATCTTGCCCATCACATTGGATCACCCAGTAGCATTCCCTGAATATGGTATAACCTGTTCTAGTAAAAGTGTGTAGGGTATGAGGCATCTACTATGGTGGACCTGGGTTACTGTCAGAATTTCTACATTCTAATAGCAGGGGCTAGTTTTTCAACAGCAAAAGCACTAACCTGGAAGGTCTATTGGTTGGGAATTTAAAAGTTATTTTAACATTAAACACTTCCCTAATGTGATTCATCGAGGCAGTACTTGGCTATTGTGTTTAGTTAAATACAAGCCTTTTATATTCGCAAAATCCTTTTTTCAGGGTCATGTATAGAACGTTGATTATTTTTTTGGAATGATTACACTGAACACATTTTTTTTTGTTCCTGGGTAGTAAGTATTATTTCCTAATTGCTTACACCTCAAAAGTACAGAAAATGGCTATTATTCCCCACAAACTTTGCTTTTGTGACGAGGACATTTATCTTTTGAAATTTACCGATTTTCCAGAACATTCCAGATAGATTCAGTGCTGGGTAAACTTGGAGTAACTTCTAGAACATTCTAGAACTTTCCAGTAATATAGATAGGAGTATAAATACAGGGCCTTAAGCCCATCCATTCAGTTTAGTTCCAGCACACTACCACAGACGGGACTGGCCACAGCGGACTGAGTTCTCTGCGGGGAGGAACAACGTCAAGTGGAAACCACTGGTGGACCCCCGGAAGGTGCTGATGCCACCACTGCACATCAAATTGGGCCTTATGAAACAATTTGTCAAAGCTGTAGGTAAGGAGTCGGCAGCCTTCAAGTACCTTCAAGACTTCTTCCCTAAGCTGTCTGAGGCAAAGGTCAAAGCCGGTGTCTTCATCGGACCACAGATAATGAAGATCCTGGAGTGCAATGAATTCCCCAAGAAGCTCACTAGTAAGGAGAAAGCGGCTTGGAATAACTTTGTCGCAGTGGTTCGTGGCTTCCTGGGCAATCACAAGGTCGAAAACTATGTGGAGCTGGTTGAGACTCTGGTGAAGAACTACGGCACAATGGGCTGTAGGATGTCCCTCAAAGTCCATATCCTTGATGCTCATCTTCATAAAGTCAAGGAGAACATGGGCGCGTACTCGGAGGAACAAGATGAGCGCTTCCACCAGGATATACTGGACTTTGAACGCCGCTACCAAGGACAGTATAACGAGAACATGATGGGAGACTACATTTGGGGGCTGATTCGTGAAAGTGATTTACAATATAATCGTAAATCTCGAAAAATGACTCACTTCTAAATCTTTTGTAGTAATTTGTATAATTTTATTATAAATACATGTTAATTTTGATTCATGTTGTTTTTTTCTGACTTTATGTGAACGAAAGACACAAATTCGCCCATTTTCTCATTGAAAAGAGGTACATTTCAAAATATAACTGTCCTGGTCACAAAAGTAAAGTTTGTGGGGAATAATAGCCATTTTACGAAATAACACTTACTACCTAGGAACACAAATTGTGTTACATAGTGTTATCATTGAAATTGTTCAAAACAGCATGCAACAACAATTGTTTGGTTTCCAAAAGCTCTGAATCTATGATGTGCAGACGACCAATCCTTACGTGACAAAATCATCTTTATAAGCAATAATTTAAAGGGGGGTGATGTTTTAGTCAAAGGCTTCAAAAACATGCCCCCATAAGTGACACTCATTAAATACAGTTGGTAATGGCAATGAAATCCGCATCAAACACTATCTTTGTACAAAAACCACATGGCTGCTGGTTTTCTCAATAGCCAATTCCTCGAAGAGCATACTTGTGAATCATTAATTATATATACAACACCAATTCTGCCTGTTTTATTCTCCACCACCTTCAGTAATAACTGATTTCAAATGCAATGCAACAATGTAGGTTTTTATCCTAGATCAAGTGATTGCAAATAGGAAGGAATTCAAAACACTTCCAAACCAACATTGCAATTTCAATATATATATATTTTTTAGCACATTGAGATTAATTATCTGTACTGCATATTCGGCTCCAGTAACCAATTTTCTTTTAGTGAAATTGAAACAATTAGCATTTTGGTCTGATCCCAGCATGCATTGCGTTTTTCTGTGTTGTCACATGATACGCTTCCGTAATAATGATGTAATTTATTTCACCAGAAAAGTCTTTGTGGAATGTCAATATTTTTTTAAGGCGGATCCGTCATTGAGATTGTTAGCCAATTTCCATTTTAATGAGGTTTTTTTTGCAATGAAACCAGAGTACTCAAAGACAATTCACGCATTCAGTGGGCAGGGCAACAATGACAGGCAGGTTCACAGACCCACCACCTTCTCTGCGATTATCCATTAGCCATCTGATAGCCCAGTGGGCCGAGTTTGATATACTTCAAAAGCAATGGATCGCACATGTATTCCACTATGCCTGGATATGAATCGTTTCCCAAACGTAAAAAAACGGGAATGTATCTTCCTATACTCAACTGAACCTTGGACAGGCTCATCTCAGCCAACAGCCCATAGTGGGGGATATTCTAGATTCCTTTGGTAGAAACTGGTGTCTACATCGGACAACTACTGCAACAGCAGTCAAACGTCAATAAGTGGTGGTAACGTTACCATAGTGCTTGTGACAGGATAGGTGCCATTGAAAACATGTGGAGTTGCAAAAACTTGCCAAGATGACACGGAACTGGCTCTGGTGACATGGAAAGCATATTGTAAATGTCAAAATAACACATGCCAAAATATATATCCTCATTCCAATTAGCATACCTGACTGGTGGACACTGGCAGGGGGTTGGAAACCATGGGACCAAAAATATCCAGGTCACTTCCCATTCCACCACCCGTCCCATTGGGCACAGCGGATCCTTCGCTGTGCCACCCTTGTGCATCTGAAACGAGAAGCAGCATCTTTGGTTGATTGGTTTACACACAAGAGGGATGCACTGAGGCGGATTGGTTTACACACAACAAGGGAGAAGCGCTTACATCATCACATGCCTGACACCTACGGTGCTTGTATGCAAAAGTATTCTATTGTTTCGTGTGATTCACCATTACAGCAGTGCGTGTCCTATGGTTGGTGAATTGGCTTAAGCAAATGTATTCGCGCACATATTTTAGAAAATAGTACACAGGCAAGCAGGGAAGTTCCTCTTAAATACAATGAAGGTGAAACAGGCTCAAGATTTGCCTTGTTTATACAAGCCCAGGTTGAATACACACATACAAAAAACCAATACAGAAGATATGCTCTTTGATGTGACATCACCCCTACTGTGACTCATGGACTGCTTTTCTAGTTTGGCCACTAAATGGTAGTATAGTCTTGGATTTCATTGTCCCAGGTTTACCTTGTACTGGGTCCGTGATGGCCCGGGTTCTAAGCAGTCACAAAACAGAGCACTGACTTTTGTAAACCAGTGTTGGGAAGTTACTCTTTGCATTAAAGAAGATCCTGTAATATTGTATTGTTTCTAGTGTGCAATTCAATTACTATTACATTAACCAGTTGATTATTTTTCATGATCAACCTGATATTGATAAAAGATGATTACAAAACAATTATATGTTATCAACATTTTGGGTTCATGCAATAATATTAGCAGCAACTGTATACATCACTAATATTAAGCCTGATATTTTAGACATTAAACCAATCCAATATTCTGCATATTAAATTCAAGTACTTGGAAAGGTAATTAATTAGATTGTTACTGTGAAAAAATGAGTATATACTATATTACTTTTCAAGTTGCCCTCCAAACATTGGCGATATGATATATTATATTGATTAACTGGTTATCCCCCCCCCACCAAAATCGTATCCCAAATGTTGTGCTGCTGCAGAATCTCGTGAAATTAAGAATCCGTTAGGAAATCTCAAACAGGAGTGCAACCTCCCACGTTAAAGAATGGCCCTTAGAAGTGGACATCACAAAACTACTTCTGCAATGCCAGTAGTGGATTGAAAAGTGGCAGAATTTTTTTGTTATACTTAACACAATATTCATAAAATAAAGAATGTTCATATCATGATAATCTATGCCAGATGTTTATTGTTGCGAAATTAACATCAGCACCAATAAAGACCAAAAACAAATACACAACTGTGTTTTTAATTTTAGTTAAAAATTACGATTGATGTTGATCTGTACGATGGCATGTTTCTGTGCAATTCTGCTGCCAAATGAATGCTTTCTAGTATACTAACAACTTTCCAATATTGTGTTTCCTTGGAACCTCTAAGAGAATGTTTTAATTGAAAGACATTCTAAGCGAGAAACGTGCGGCATATGGGAGGCTGGTTTTGTGCTGTGTGTAAATGAAACCTACAAATGTCACAACACAAGCAGTGACTCAGCCACTGGAAAGGAAATGTCTCAGATGTGCATCACAGATTGTCTGACTGCAGGATTATGCACCTAATCTCATGCACTCAGAGTATCTGGAATCACAGGATGTGCCTATTTTTTTTCAATTTATCAGTGTGTTACCAACACTGCTACATATGCAGCCTCTAGTGTCGATAAAATCATTACAACTTTGCAGAAACTTCAACAGTGGTTTATGCAACGTACAAACCGGCTCCCATCATAGGAATGTGGAATTTTCATCACTGGCTCAGGACCGTCAATGAAAATGAGCACTGCCCAATGCTAGTTTGGAATAAGGAACAGTTATGCTTTGGCCTTTGACAACAAAAAACATTTCGCATTATTCAGTTGAATTGAGTATGTTATTTGATCAAAGAGATTTAATTGTAATTTAATTGTGAAATACTCAGTTGGTTAAGCAGTAGACCTCAAGTCAAAACTCCTCCAAGGTCAATTCAGCTTGACCATAATCATGATTCCATCACCCCCACCACCCAACTATGTAGGATGCTATGTGATAAAAAAAAAGTATGGGGGGATTCTTGTCGCAGGAATGTGAAATTTCCCCCAAATAGCAAGATGAGCGTGGTTCCAAAAAACACACATTTGTAAAGAAATTATGTAGCGATCTCTGTTTATATTATAAAAGGTACTACAACCAAGCACATTAAGAGGGCTGTCATTGATGGCACTGTGGGAGATTTGAGGACATGGCACCAACAATTCCAGTAAAGCCACACTGGCTCACGAGCTCAAATATCTGTAAGAGAAGTCCAATTACACCGTGACACTAACCCAACACGGGCCACAAAGGGGACATGGTGACATAGAGAAGCACAGGGATGACGCTTTCATAATGCATAGACAAAAGCAGCCCATTGAACAAACCCGCGCTGTGTAATTTGTAAAACGCATAGGAAACATGGTAGTCATGGTAAAGTTTGTGTAGATTTTTACACGATTAAATTATCTTTAATTGTCATCTCCTTGTGCTCTGATTATTTTTGATAGAGGTAATTTGCCGTGAAGATTAGTCTAAGCCAGTGGTGGAAATTCCATAACTACTGACGCAGAGGCAAGTATATGCTTTTAAAAAACTATGAATAGTGGCGTTCGTGTCTAATTGCTATCCCACGATACATATACAATGACCACTTAACGTTACACAGAAAAAAGCATAATAAAATTATAAACAAGATACATAGACTGAAAGCTTTCGTGACTGCAGGAATTCATATTCTTTGGGTGTTTCGGTAAAGTCACATAGATAGGTTCAAAGAAAATAACAAAAAACTACAATGTTTCGATCGCAACACAAGCGGTCGTCATGAGTTGCGATCGAAACGTCGTAGTTTTTGTTATTTTCTTTGAACCTATCTACGTGACTTTACCGAAAGACCCAAAAAATAAGAATCATAAAGTTTAGCACTCAATCAAGAGACAATACATGACACTTAATATACGTATATTCTTGGTTCTTTCTGTGAAGTTACGTGAATAGAAAACAAAAAAATCTAAAAATGTAAAATAAAAATAAAATACAAGTAATACATTGAAAATAATAAAAGCAAAAAAAAAACAGTAAAATAAAAATAGTAAAATACAATTTAAAATAAATTGAAAAAAATAAAAGCAAAATACCCACGACGTTTCTATCGCAACAGAAGCGGTCTTCATCTGCCTGTTGAATTCCTGTCATCATGGACAACACCACATACAATTAACAATATTCAGGACCTATTTAATGATGGTAGCTATACCAAAATCAATAGAGATCCCACCAACCGCCTGGTTACAAAAACCAACAATATCATCACTGATTCGACATCTTTAATCGAACCAACCAAGCGGTCTTCCTTAAAACCCTCTGTTGCTAGACTACCCAGATTGTATGGCTTACCAAAAATCCATAAAGAAGACACACAACTTCATCCTATCGTCTCCAACATTGACTCACCCACCTACAAACTGGTCTGATTTCTGTCTGAGACCTTACAACCATTCACTAGTAAAACCACCTCAGCTGTACTTAACTCAGCTCACTTGGTATCGTTAATTAAGGACATCTCACTATCTCCAGGTGATTTGCTCATTAGTTTTGATGTAGTATCTTTGTTCCTCTGCCTGACACCATTGCAATCATTGAAGATTTGGTCCAACAAGGACTGAATGCTGATCTACCGGCCCTGGTTAGACACTGCCACAACAACACTTACTTCACCTGGAATGGAACATTCTACAAACATGTTGAAGGTACCTCAATTGGTTCTCCCTTATCTCCAGTTGTCGCCAATGTTTTCATAAATTTTTTTTAGACATATGCCATCCAGGCATCCACTCTAAGTCCGTCCTTGTGGAAGAGGTAACATAGATGACACGTTCGTCATCTGGCCACAGCCTACCAGCTCTGAACCAATTCCTCAACCACATAAATTCCATACACCCAGCCATCAAATTCACCATGGAGGTGGAACAGGATGGCAAGTTACCATTCTTGGATGTTTTAATCGAAGAGACCAGATGGCTCCATGAGAAACTGTCTACAGGAAAGCCACCCATACGGATGCCTACCTAAAACCTGACTCCCACCACCATCCATCCCAGAAGAATTCCCTCATCAAAACTCTACACCATAGAGCTTGTTGTATTTCTGACCATTACCACCGAGCCAGTGAACTGGAACACGTACACCAAGCCCTCTAGATGAATGGATATGCAGACTACACAATCCGTAAAGCTATCACCCCAACCATTGAGAAAGAACCATCTGAGGACCAAATCAAAACCATCACTGTGCCATACATAGCAGGGGTCACCAAAAATATTTCCAAAATTATGAGCAAACATAAGATCCAGGTTCGATTTAACACAGTACATAAAATTCGTGATTTGATCCCATCTGCGAAAGATGTGATCCCTGACATACAATACCCCGGCATCTACAAACTAAGTTGTGCCTGCGGCAGTAGTTACATTGGGAAAACTAAGCAACACGACTCGGACGGTGTTCGTGAACATAAGGCGCATCTGAAACATGGTAGGACCAATACCTCTGCCGTTGCTGATCATTGTTTTAACGCTGTGGGCTCGCACGAAATAGATTTTTCCAAGATGGAGGTACTCTGCAAACCTACCGGCTACCTTCAGAGATTTGTTCATGAAGCCATCCAGATATATAAACAGACACAACTTCAACCAAGAAGATGGGTACAAACTGAGCAATCATTGGAAGGACGTTATTAACCAGGTAAAGTATTTACTGACTGTGATGTTTCCATCCTGCCTGCCTATGTCAGCTGTTATTTCCAACTCTGCGTCTCTCTCTATTGTCATCTTAGATCTCTCATGTCCTTTGGATTGCACTCTCATGCTCACATGTCCTTTGGATTGCACCTCTCATGCTCACATGTCCTTTGGATTGCACTCTCCTGCTCACATGTCCTTTGAATTGCAATCTCAGGGTGCTAATCTCTCATTAACAATGCTGTTATGTGCATATGCGGGCATGATACTCTCTCCCTCATTAACACAAATGAGGTGCTTGCATCCGGGGGTGGAATTCCTTTCCAGATCAGACCCCGCTTGCTTGCCCATCGCCACATATATAACCTTGTTGTAACCGCACTCTCGCTGGTTCAGCAGTTCCACTGCTGGATTATATTTTTTCTGCCTGAGGACGACCGCTTGTGTTGTGATCGAAACGTCGTGATTTATTTTATTTTATACCTATGTGACTTTACCGAAAGAACCAAGGAGTATGCTAATCTCTCTCACTTAACATCACCAGCCCCGCTCACTTCGTTTACACAACCGCCATTTACATTGACATGCTTATCTCTTACATTGACATGCTAATCTCTCTCACTTTAACATTACTAGCCCCGCCCACTTCGTTTAGGACCCTTGCACTACACCATTTCAAACCTTTAAAACAGCCTGCCTCAGCAGCTTTCCCCCCTTCTTTTTTCACCTGATGACGATTGCCTGTGTTGCGATCGAAACATTGTGATATTTTTATTATTTTTAATTAATTTTATTTTAATTTTTATTTTGTATTATTTTATTGTTCTATCTACGTGACATTACCGAAAGACCAAAATAATATTTCTTATTTTTATTTTATTTAAATTCTTTAGATTTTTTTTTCTATTTCCATGACTTCACCGAAATAACCAAGAATATGAATTCCTGCAGTCACGAAAGTTTTAAGTCAAAACTTAATATATGTTTAAAGTTGAGTAATTTACTATAAAACGTTGCTAATATTCCCTACCGACACACTATTGACCTCAATGAGAGAAATGCAACCGAATGGTCTTATCGGAGGCTGGGTGGCCACTTGCCTGAGCCAAGTTGCAAAAGATCAAAAGTTAAATTCCCAATAATGTATACAAGCGTATTTTAAATTTTGATTTAAAGCTTTCGTGACTGCAGGGATTCATCTTCTTGGTTCTTTCGGTAAAGTCACGTAGAAGAGAAGTAATAAAATAATAAAAATAAAACATAATAAAATTATTCTCACGACGTTTCGGCCACAACGCAAGCAGCCGTCCTCAGGTGAAAACCAGGTCCGTCGAGGCGACAGAGTCTAAATGAAACAGCACACGAGCTTGGAGCATATATATAAGCTGGGCGCATTGACAAAGGAATTTGCATATATGCTAAATTCCTCTTGATATGCAAATTCCTTTGTCAATGCGCCCAGCTTATATATATGCTCCAAGCTCGTGTGCTGTTTCATTTAGACTCTGTCGCCTCGACGGACCTGGTTTTCACCTGAGGACGGCTGCTTGCGTTGTGGCCGAAACGTCGTGAGAATAATTTTATTATGTTTTATTTTTATTATTTTATTACTTCTCTTCTACGTGACTTTACCGAAAGAACCAAGAAGACAAGCGTATTTTTTTACTGCATTCTGCAAAGTGGGTAATAAAATCCTTAAGACATTAATCCCAAATCATAATAATGTACAATCTGTACAATCTGTACATTATTTAGGAATAACATTCAACTGCAAATAACATCACGATGTAAACACTCATTGTGATGCAGCAGATTATTCTGGGTAAATAAATACAGACTTGCATCCTATATCTCCACGAAAAAACTATTATTCGTCTATTGTATTTCTACACTTATATCAACCAGCAGCATTTGTTTAAGAAAACATTCTCCTGGTAAAAATAAGCAATCAAATTCTAAGCATTTGATTGAACCAAAGGGCAATTAAATGCTGTTTCATGGAAGTCTGGAAAGGTCAATAAGCTAACAGATTAAGACGCATTTTATTTTATATATAGGAACACAAAAAACATCTATTTATTTTATTTACTTCCAAATTGATTGATGAAGCCTATGGAAGTGTAGAGGTCATGCAGGGACATGCCAGGATTTAATGTAGGGGTCACGAAAGGGGTGTGAAAGAGGGGATAGGCGATTGGTGGGGGGCAACCCAAAACAATCAGATTGGTGGGCAAGAGGAAGAGAGGATTTATAAAAAGATGTGGCACCAAGGCTAGGGGCTTTGGGAAGAAAAGGCTGAAGTCAACGAGCACTCATACCCTGCAAGCATCCGCGCTGTGCCTGCCCTACCCTACGAGTATTCATGTTGATCGAAACGGCAAAGAACCCTTGCCAGGACAACTCACGTGGACTCCCTTTCAGAAGTTACAATACTTACCCAAGCCGAGAAGGTCCACAGGAGGCTCAGCTGGCTTTGGTGGAGCTGCCGCCTTTGGTAAAGGAATTGGTGGCCGCTGCTGCTGCTGCTCAGGAGACTTCTGAACCCGGAAGTGACAGCACAAGGAGAAACGGCCACTGATTAACACCAGCCCTAGCGGATACAACCAGCAATGCCAATTCTTTACCCACAAAGTTCTCGCCGAGTCTCAATACTTTTTTCAGAGGACTTGATTTAGATATTTTGTCATCACTAATAAGGTGTTTGGGAGCCATCCATTTAGGGGGGGTTAACCCAAATGCGTACACTTGCGTATGGTGGGTCTACTGACAATGTACGTACACATAGGAAACGGGGGGGGGGGGGGTGTGAAGCCTCAATAATAATTTGTCTATATTGGCCTTCAAATTAGTTATTAATCCTTGATCGTTTCTGCGTGGATTAAATATCGGCCGTTCTATAGAATTCGGGGGGGGGGGGGGAGGTGCGTCAAGCGTATGTACGCAGGTGGGGGGGGGGGGGTAAAAAGTAACGTGCATACAGGGAGTTTTGCCAGAATTTTGAAGAACGTACTAAATGGATGGCCCCTTAGCTTGCAGAAGGAAATCAGAGAACCAGGAGAAAATCCGTGCGTACTAGGAGTAACACACCGTCTGCCAGTCATAGGGGTTGTTTGACCATACTCCACCTCATTGGTCATTGCGGGTTGATGAGAGATATATTATTATAGATATTGCTCCCCACTCACGTTAGCAGTGGCTAGGAATCAAACTCAGGCCTCAGGGTTTGTAGCGTAGAAAAAACGATTGTGGTACTGTTCTCCTGGGAAACTCATTGTTGTCCGAACACACTCCAAAAACATGGTAAGTGTTAAATAATATACGGTATTCTCAATTTTTATTACACCCAAGTCGGTGGCCTGAGCCGGCAAAGCTGAGATCTTGGGTTTCACATCCCAGACCGAAATGTCAAATCTTGCGTGCGTGGTGGTGCCAACCCGGCCACCAATGACAGCACAATGCACAAGGTAAAGAGTTAATCACAGCCACTGCTGCCAATCCTACCAAAGACTGTCATCGCTTCCTGCCTTCTGCTAGATTTTTGAGCCACTGCAGTCGACACATAACCACCAATATCTGCTATTTTAGTTTCATCAACACCATCTGGATTAAGGTCTTCCTCTTGGTCACCCCCCCCCCACCTCTGGCTGCCTTCCCGATTAAATCTATTACTCTCACTTTGCACTAACAGACCTAGATATAATGTTTTTCTTTTATAAAATCTCTTGGTGTGTTTTCAACAGAGAGGACAAAGAGTGAAGCACTCACGTGTCTACACAGAATACAGCATACACCAGCACTTGAGATATAAGACATTCATGAACGAGATGTATTGGGTTATGGCCTGTGAAATAACTTCCCAGTCAAACAATGAAACACGTGTCTCTGTAGTGACAACCATAATGAAGGCCAAGTGTTATGCTCATTGTGTAACACAATACGCTGAGTGCAAAAACAAAACTGCATATCCACACAAACTTCCACATGTGGCCACTTGCATTGTGTAGACTCTTACGCGCACACACAATGGTGCACGGTTGTGTGTAAATGATAAAGAAAACTGTACAATGGCAAAACAACACGTGTAAACAAGTGGGCACACAAATGCTATATCAGCTGCAGTTTGCTTTACCTGATTTCATCACTACTGCAAGTTCCTGTTCAGCCACTAGCACCAGCACAATGTAAACCACAGCAATGCCTTTGCCTCTCGAGCTTGTAACAACCTCTACAGTACATATCTCATCTCTAAGGTAACTGCTTTAACAGTGTCCCCCAGACTCACGGCTTTGGGTTTGCTGAGGGGAACTGGCTTCTCCTTTTTCTTCTCCTCCACCCGTTTGTCCTTCTCCTTCTGTAGGAAATAAGGGAAGTGTCACGTAAGCCACTGGAGCTATGCAGTTTTAAATCTAGATTGAAAACGAATTTCTTTAAAACTGCTTTTTGTGTTCAGTTATCCTTCTCCCGCACGTACAATTAGCACAGTTGGCTACGTATGGTGCAAAATAATTTCAACATACATACATATGTAAGATGCACACAATACATATATGTATGCGAAGCAACGGCAATTACAAGTCGCTGACCATTCCTTAAGCCACTGGTATACGAGTGACCACAAAAGAACACTTAATTTGGACTGCTATATTTAATCTGCGGTGAATCACACAAAACACTTAATCAGCTTCAGTAAGTGTAATGATAGTCAAATGTAGATCGACAAAGTTGCTTTACATGTTGCTTTCTTAGCATGTTTATATGTTGTGAAAAAGAGGGGCATATAAATCAGGGAAAAAATGCAAATCAGAGACAGCAGCCAACTGTTGGGAAAATGTAACCGAAAAAACAATTCGTTCTAAGCTTGTATGGATGGGCAAAGGATCTGTGTAATATGTAAAGTTTTAGCTTTGTTAATGATAATCAAAATACTTTAAAAATTATGATCAAGCAAGGGACCATACCGTGGCATATGGACATCTGTGATGTCACCAGAGTGCTCTAATGTTATCATATTTCTTATCATTAAGGAAACCTGTAACTTTTATTGGAGACAGCAGGACACACAGCATATGTAGGCATCGACAAGCATTTGCTTTTGAGTTACATCTCATCTGAAGAAAAGTATGTGAGCTTCAACGACACATCGATAGACGGAATGATGACCTACAGACAATAGTGGATTTAGAACGGCAGCCAAAGGAGAGAATGCACTCAAAAGGATGAACAAAGATGAGATCAGTTCATGTGCATGAGTAAAATGGATTGTGGCAACACATTTGGGATGGCAAATAGGGTGGGGGATGGCCTTAATCCAGCAGTGGTTAAACAATGGCTGGTGATGATGATATGCTACAAGTGGCATTATTTAAACATTATGATCTGTGGAATTGTGGTCAGAGCTCTTGAATCGCAATTGGAAGTCAGATGTTGTCTCATATCCTTTGACGGACCACAGCTAGTTGTGGAAATCCCACATTTATAGCGGAGGCCAGTCTAGAGGGAAAACATGGTTGACTTCCTTTAGCAGGACTGATTCTTTTTTTTTCACCCTGGGAGATATAATGCAAGCATAGCTAGCATGAAAAAAACCTAATCCAAATACGTTTTTTTCATGTTTCTAAAACAAATAAATGTATGAATTCCCGGCCGTTTACATAGCAGGACATGCACCGTTCAGTTTTCCAGTGGCTTAAATAGGGAAGGGTGACAATACCTCCACTCGGCTCTCTCCTGATAGTGACGCCGAGGAAGCTGAGGACTGTTTGCGAGAGAAAGGCGCACATTTGTCACGCATGGCGCATGGCGCACGTAGTGAACACTAAACATGCACAAGGCTACCAAAAGTCCCAGTTTGACTGGGACTGCCCCTATTAGTCGGAAGGCTGTTCGAGTGTCCCCAATCTTTTGAGAAAAATCATGTTTTCGCCTATACTAAATATTTTTGGGCTTCATGCTCGACTGCCAATCGAGGGCAAACGACGGATCTACTTGAGCAGTGATTAGGATTTACAGAGACGTAGACAGGGCTCATCATGCATCCCGGTCAAGCTTCCCGGAAAATTTGGAAGCTTTAACGACAAAGGCAGCCATATAAAGCAGAAAAGTACTGGTAGTGTTGAGTGCTATGCTAATGCAACAGGATGGGTCTCACTGTGGTTAGACTCACAATTGAAAGTGTCTCCCGTTAAACGATGGTACTCGAGCCAGTGGGGTAAATAATGGTGGTGGCCCGTTTGAACAGGGAAAGTTTGACATTTTTGAAGCAATTAATCACAAAAGTAATTTTAAAATAAAATTACATTATTTTGAAAACATTCGGCTATGTTACACAAAAAAGCTTAAAAAGTAAACCATAATGAGAGACTGGTAACTTTTCAAAAGTAGCCTTCTCTCAGCACAAGTGTAATGACAGGCAACAGAGCCAACAGATTTGGTAATAGGTTCCAATTACCCAGACATAGAACTGAAAAAGGAATTTAAACACATCTCTTCACATCGTACCTGTCACACCAGGGCACAGTTTTAATCAAGCAAGTCCAGTTGAGCACCACAACATTTATGTTTATAGCAACCGCTGAGAGCTGCGCAGGTGCCGGCCTAGCGTGACGCTGCTGGCAGCCAATGTTCTCAATTCAATTGGAATGTTTTATTTACCGAGTCCACCAAGATTCAATATTTTTCCAAAATTATACAGCTTGGCACCCAAAATTAAATAGGTAGTTGCATTAATATACAGTATTAGGTGTAGACACTGACCTACCACCACAGGAATGTGGAATTTCCATCAAAGGCTCAAGGCTAAGAACGGAGTTGAACAATGCCCAAAACTCGCTTGAGTTTGGAAAGACACTCTTAGCATTATCTTCAAATAAACTTCAGCGAGGAAACGGACCTTCACATGGTTATAACACTAGAAATCATCTGCAAGTTTTTCCGGGCGGCTGTGGCAGAAATCGAACCATCAAACGTGTTTACTCTGGCTCAGTGGTAAGTACTGTACACTTATGACACACAGCTGCCTGGTAGGGTGGTATTCATGCTTACATGGGGAAAAAGCAGACAATGACATTACAGCACTGGCAGAAAACGAAATCGCCGGTTTATGTCAGTCCTTCAAGGCAATTACTTTATCTATCACTATGTTCAGAACAGCAATCACGATGGTTGCTTTAGTTTTTTTTATATTTACTGCTATAACCACATAGCTATTAAGGGAAAATATATATTTACATTAAGGATTCAGAAGACAGCGAAGTTTTATGGTGAAAAACGATAGATTGGAAGGAATTATCATTTTAAAAAGGAACAATCCACTGCAAGGTGGCAGAGGTTGTTCGCAGACAGTTTGTGTTTATGCTAAGTAGTACTTTGCTGTTGAAACAACTTCACAGATGTGCCAACATCCCATTACAGGTACAATATACACAAGTATTCATGTTTTGACTTACAACTTTCGTGACTGCAGGAATACATATTCTATAGTTCTTTCGGTAAAGTCACGTAGATAAAAAAATAACAATAAAATAATAAAAATAAAGTGAATAAAAAATACATCTTTATTCACTTTATTTTCATTTTTATTAAATGAAGTGAATAAAAAAAAATTTCACTTTAATTTCATTTTTATCATTTTATCGTTATTATTTTTCTATCTACATGACTTTACCTAAAGAACCATAGAATATGTATTCATGTGTTTGTCGCGCTAAAGCTTAGCTGGCTCATTACGTCAATGCATTCTATATTCCCCATTCCAGTGCACTCCTCGAGTGCCTCAAGAGCACCCGTGTGACCTTGTACAGCATGCCACGTCCCCAGCAAACATGCTTTCATGTGCCTTTCTCAATCACAGAGATACGTGGAGGATGAACAGCGTTCAGCTTAACACGGATTACTGGATTTGAACTGAAAATAATTTGGACTTATAACTCACAAATCTTATCAACAATTGAAAGTTTAAACAATCCAATTCAAAGTCTAGATATTGCTCTGATCAAATGAGCAATGGGGCAGCACCCATGTCATTGGCAGCCCAGAATCAGTGGTGGAAATACTATATTCCCATGTGAGGAGCCAAAATCACCTTCGAACAACCACTGCTATTATGTCTGGGGAAAGTCAAAAGCACAGCCACCATGCAGTGCGTTGTCAGACTTCCCTTGAAGTGGCAGCATCGTTGCACCCCATGAGTCCTCTACTGTAGCCTGCTTGCCAGTACTCATTACCATTGCACTGTTTGCCTAACAAACAAGTGACCAAGCTTGGCCATATTGACCCAGTGATTATGAGAGCTTGATAAACACACAAAAATGCAGAGCCTCAAGTATTCTGCTTGTGTGTAAACTCCCACAAGAACTTTGAAACTGCACAGGAGTGAAGTTATTGCTTGTACGCTCTTCAGTTTACAGTAATTATTGTCTGGGCGACCAAAAAAATATCGATTCTGTCGATCTGTATGCCAAGGACAAGTAGGTTGAGAATAAATGGGATTTTTGCGATCTTACTATTACTGACCTTAAGAGCGTTAATGTCCAAACTTTTGTCCATGTACTTTTTCTTTTCATACTTGTCTCGGATGAAAATTTCGACGGCACTAAATTGTAGGTTAGCGGTTAAGGGTTGCCACAATAGACACTGCCAGTGTGTAAATACTTTTACAAAACAGTAATTCCAACACAGAACAGTAAACACAAAACATTTGTAAATTATTCAGAAAACAAGAATATCTTCTTATATTTAAAACCATCTTTTAAATATTTAATGTAGAACATGCCTAAATGTGAACGGTGACTTCATTTGCTAAATGACACGAAAGGTGCTGAACAGGCACTCGTGCGTGTATGCCTGCATTCGTGAGCGTATGCAATTAACAGGCAATGCATTCACGCAGTGGTAAAGCGCATTCTCTATGAACCCCAATGGCCAGAGTTCGATACCCTGCCATTGCTAACATCAGTGGCGAGTAATATCCGAACCAGTCCTGGCTACCCCACCACATAACTGACCGTCATGGTTAAGTATGGTCAAACAACCCCCGTGACTGACATGACACAGGGAAGCCTTCATCCAGAAGCACATGGACCAATAACTATCAATTAATATTTAATTTCATTGACTAAATATAAAAAAATCGCACCATATATTACCGTGCTTAGAGTGATAGACTCGTATTTGGAGGTCACACATTCAAAATTCAGATCAGGGAACAATTCAACTCATCATCCCCCTCAAGGATGCATAATGAGAATCACTTTTTAGTCCTCAGCATAAAAATGTGCATTCTCAGCAAATGGTTCAGGGCCAACAAAGGAGATGAGCACCACCCCATTGCTCGTTTGAGCAGCTAGACACAAATGTGTGCCTACTTTATTGACCATCATGCAGAGATGAGCTGAGACGGCATCTGTCCTCAACTCAACATTTTCCAATTGTGAGTCCAGAACTCTACTCAGTGTAACGTTGCATAATCCGAGGATTTTTATCTATGAGGTTTAAAAGCTTCAAATCAAGATTGAGGTTTAAGAGCTTGACTTGCTAGGAAAATGCCTTAGGAGTGTGTACTCCTACAAAATGCTGCCATGCATTATTATTATCATCATTCGTAATAACAAAATATCAGGACTAAAGCATTGGTGTCCAGCGTCTAGGGAAACAAGCACTGAGCATGCCGAATACGATTAACGTTGCAGGCATTTGTGCCCAAACGCATAGTGAAAGGTGGCGGGGGCTAGGAAGGCAGGGCTCGCGTCAACCGGTAATCCTGTAGGGACAATGCGAGAGCTTAGTCAGTACATAAACAGCAGCAACATTTCTTCAGCCGGGCCGGGCAAAGGATACTGGTCGGACTGCGGCCTCCTGAAGCTGTCTGGCAGGTTGGCCTCGTACAGACGTCGTGCTTTCCTGTTGCCCATCTCTTGAATGTTCTACCGTGCATGCGGAACACACAGCGCACCAGTTATAATGCATCGCACATCCTCTTGGGACAGTGAGTGATTGGCAATCCTCTCCCGGAATTTGTGAAAGTCGATGACTGGAGGCTCATCTGCAGGCATGTGATGAGTCATCCAATTACATTTATGGAGCTGTCACAAATTCGAGACATGACTCGAGTGAAGAATAACATGTTTATTTTACGTTGTCTACAGTCTCATGCATTATCTGCTTCATATTCTCTCTCATTTCCTCTATTCACATACGATTTGTTTTATTAGCACAAATGCATAATTTAAAAATAATCAATTCTTATGCACACAATTCAATGCATGCATTGTGAATGGAAGAGTCAATGTTAAATTATGAATAAACGAATATTTTTGTGCAAGTTGTGATGTCATATTTTGTGTCATTTAACACCAAAACCAAAATTATATATATTTTTCTGTATTATGTACTGTATACAAACAATAACCGCCATTCACCACTAAGTGATTGTGCCAGGCCTTATGCACTTTACACAAAAAACACAATATGATACACATTAGCAAGCACGTACCAAAGAGCAAATTAAAGCACCTTTGAGATTGTTAGGGTTCAATATTAACACTCAGATCAAAGCACTTTCAGGATTCTTAGAGAACATGAATGTCTGAAGCTCACGAGGCCAAACCAATGCATCTTCAGGACCCTCAGAATTCCATTCTAATGCTGGTGGCTCGGCTAAATAATGAAAATATTTACGATTTTTTGGGGTTCATTGTGAGAGAGATAGAATAAGACCCTTAGCATTCGGTTCAAAAAGCCAAATGAAGGCCTTCAATATATTTACTAATGATGAATACCTGTGGCTCAGGAGCCAGTGTGAAGCATATTATTAGCCGCGGGGAGGCAGTGAGTGAAACATGGCTGAGCGTGTTTCTGTGGTTCGGACAGCATTTGTCGCTCCAGTCTCTCCCCCCTCCCCCCAACACCGAGCATATGCAGCAGACACCGTGGTTGCAGCAGCTTGGAGGCACCTACCTGGATCTGCTCGGGCGTCCACTGGTCGAGATTGACAGACTTCACGCGCGAAATGTGCACGCCCAGGTTGCGGTGGATGCCCGCACAACGGATGCACATGAACACGCCGAGGTTCCACGATGCCCACCTGGGACCTGGGCAACCGGAGAACGCTCCCGGTCAGGGTGGCCACACACACCACGGTGGTCACACACCTCGTGCTCAACTCAAAGTGAATGCGAGATCTGCCACAGTTGCGAGACGTTAACTACCATGCCTGGTATACAGGTCGTGGGTTTGATCCAGACCCTCGTGCCTGTATATTTGGCGTGTTCTCCCCATGGTTGCGTGGTTTTCCCTCCACATTTAAAAACATGCGTTTAGATTATTTGGCTGCTATGAATTTCAGGTCACATTTGGAAAAAAATGCTATATAGCTCAGTCGGCCTTACACCTGCTAAAATATATTTGTTTTTGTTTTAATGCGTACCTTACATACAGTTTGGGTGTAAAAAAGCATAAATTCGTTCATGAAGTTCAATTCTTGAGAGGCGGCTGGGTGGCTTATGTTAAGAGAGATGAATCGTCACTGTGATATCCTGAGATGGAATCGGAGTTTCAGATGCCTGTGGTTAAATTACATTCTCAAGTATCGTGAGTTTGTAGTATTAGTCGAGTCACCAAAAACTGCACAAACATCTATCTAATTAAATTGTATTTGCCACTTAGTTTGACTACATTTCAGCTCTACAGAATTTTAAATGTCCACTTGACTGCCATGCGACTCAGTCATCTGTGGTAGGGAAAGTGGGACAGTACTGTCCCCTAGCACGGATAAGGTAACTTGAAGGGATCTCAGTAGTTCTGCAAAAATCTGCTTCAACATGCCATTCCGTTACAAAGGGTGATATTCTACTTATGAGAGTTCAAAGTGGGGTCAATTCTGGACGTGTTTAGAAGCTCAGAGATTAGAGTGCTAAGCAGAGACTCTAAGATGCTAGATTATAAATCCAGGAAGCCACCTGTGATTAAACGGGGTTCTGAACTTTCCATAGGTTGATGGTCTTGGTAGCCATCTTAAAGTAGAAGACTAGGTCGTAATTTAATTTAACAGAAACACATTACTCAGGGCAGCAAGTTGAACGTTTGCCAAATAAAATAATAATGAGGTCTTGGTGGAAAGTTCCCACTGCATTGTTTCTCCTTGTCGAGGCACCACAGTAAAACTTAGCAAAATAACGAGTTTATTATGTTCGCTACTTGCCCCTACAAGAAATTGAGAAAATATTCACACATAACACCTTCAATGTGCCATACCTTCTAAACTGCAGGTTCAGTTATACTGTACTAGCTTTACCGCCCGGCTTCGCCCGGGACATGGATTCTTGTCTTGGATTAATACACGGCCTACGCGGAGGGTGGAGGGGAGATGCGTGACGTCAGCAGGCACACTGCGTGACGCTGCCGCATGCGGGTGACATCACAAATGTGACGTCACCGCTCACTTGCTGTGCAAAATCTATCCATTATTGCACCTCCCCCCCCAAAATACAAAAGTCAATTTTATACATGTTGCATTGTGTACACTCTGGAAGCTACCCACATGCCACATTTCAAGTTTGTTGCATGTCGAGAAGTATGCTAAACATTTCGAACAGACACACATTCACAAATTTTCCTCTTATATATATAAGATAGTATAAAAGTTTAAAGATTACACACAGGACGTATTATTTAACTGTACACATACTCGCCATATACATATACAGTACTCCATTAATTCATTATGATTCAATGTTTGGAGTTGGAAACTTCACCTTCCCATAGCAATGATAATTTATTGTAATGACACTACAATTGCAAAACAAAGCATTGCCTTGCTATAAACTTGCATGACAAAAGCAAGTTTCGGCCCACACCACCCACCACTGATTTGTAATTCTGGTCTTAGCAGCTGCTTGCTAAAAGTAGTTCAAATTAGCCATCAACACTTCACATGTCCTCGAAGTGCACCTAGTTTGGCATAAACGCCGTGGTGACGTCAACTGACACTTAATGGTGAATGGCAGCTGTTGTATGTATATGCTCCTGTACATTTCCTGTGCAATGGTGCCAAAATATGCGTGTCCATATCCAGTGGGATTCTGCCCTCCAATATATATTGCACACGTCCTGTGCCACATGAGCATGGGAGCAAGCTTTATAAGTGTGTGGGTGTTCGGGGAACGTTGCTGTGGTGGTTATCGCACTGTACAATAACCTCAACAACCCAGGTTTGATTACTATCTATAAATACCAATCAATATCTGAATCTATTTTTGGCTTTAACTACATTATGTAGTATGGTTAATATCAGAATAATTATATTAAGGTGGCTGGGCATGCCCAGGTGCTAGTTGCTGGACAAAAGGAAAGCTGAAAGTTTAACTATTGGTTGCTGGCCAACTGAGCCCAATTGTCATGAAAATGAACACTCCATTTCTAGGAATTCAACAGTAGCAATCCTATGAGGTACTGTAACCAATTTCCACAAAAGGAAATTAGGAATTTTTAACGCTGGCTTAGGACATCCAACGTGCCTCCCCCCTCCAATTTTTCTTTTGAACAGGGTCTTTAATGTGAAGAGCACGCGTCCTCACCAGGCTACAAAGGGATATTTTGCCTTTGTGCACTGAGGGAAGAAGCATGAAGCCCCCCCAGGCAGTGTCAACGCAAGTTAAAGGCGCGTCAGCTGTTTTGCGAAATGACTGCTTGGCAAGCAGAAATGCGTGCGCGCAACATGCCGCGTCAACTGCAGCGGTGGCACTCTGGAGGCACGTCACGCAACACGCCGCATAAGACAGTGGACGTCCATCATCGCCGCCCAGCCACACAATGCATCTTGTCATGCTAGACTTTGTCTTGCACAAATTAGTTCAGGATGCAGAGATCACCACAACCAATTATGTCGATACGCCAAGCTTCCCACCTTGTCAGATCGCACGGCTGTTTCAGTCACGATCCAACCCTCCTAGGGTAGTTTTTGTATAAACCCCATAAACATTTACAATCTGAATGTTGTTGATTTACTCAACACACCGGAGTGCTGTACTAGCAACGCATTGGCATGTTCTGTTTACGTGACAAAGCTTACTAATTTGCTGTGTCGGGTGTTGGCGGTTTTAATGACATTTATATTTATGCGATATAACCCAAAAAACCTGTATTATGGATATTGGTGGCGCAAGCCTACGTGTTAAACTGGCAACCTTTTGTTGGCACCCTAATATCCATTTAAGTAACCTGTTTTCATAATAAATACAGCACGTGTTCCTCCTACATCACAACCACCTCTTCCCGAATAAGTCCATAAGACCTTCCTCAACTCTCCATTCTGAGCTTTCAAGTTACTTACTCGATCATAAAAAATATATATCTGAAAGGCGTATCTGTAACTTGCCGCGGGAAGAGCCCACTGTGATATATACGCAACTCTAATAAGGGAAATGTTTTCCTTCTAAGAGTCTCAGGATGGATTTATAATGCTTAACTTAAAACTTAAATAATGACGGTTGTGTCATAGGGATTGTTCAACCAAGCACGGGATAGTCGTAACCATCTCCACTGTTGGCTCTAAGCCAGTGGTTGAAATTCACCATTACTATAACTGGGGCTAGCGTCCCTAAAAGTGTGATACTCATTCCATAAAGGGATGATAAGCCGAGGCAACTCCCAACCAGGACTTTAACCTGACAGGTCTTCTAGTTGTGATGTCTTCTGCCACCACACTTAAGTACTTCGAAATGTTCACGTTGTATTGTTGTTAGCAAATGTGATTAAGACACAGTATTTTACTTTCTATTGTGTTCCCCTTTTGTGTTTGGTTTGGATTATGTTACTACCCGTGCCCTTTTACTTTTGTCTCCTCGATTCCATTATTTAGGTCTCACAACAGATGTGCATGTCAGTGGACTCTCTCCTGGTTAAATAAAGATCTTAATATTCTGTAGTGGATCTGCCTTAGGTAACCTAGTTTCACTAAGTGCACAGGTGATACAATTTGATGACACTGAATAACTCCCACTGGAATTTGTTAAAATAACTGTGTGCACTAACATACTTGCATTGGCATTATTACATTGATTATGCGTGTAAATCACATTTGCTGAGCACACATCAAATTTCCCAAAACGAAAAACGGCCAGGGAATGTACTGTCATGCACCAAGCTAGCAGGACACAGCATGGATGAGGGTAAAAGTTAATCTAGCACGACGAGTCTTAGACGCCAGTGGAGATATCAGGGTGCATGTGCGTTTAATCTCAACTTGAGCTGTCTCTAGCATGGTAAGAAGACACCTCTGGGGATGGACAGGGTCCACTGCCCACCTCAGGCTAACATCTAGATGCAATAACAGAAAATGTCAAAACTCGGAAAAGCAACATGATGTAATCATACATAATCAAACGGAAATTTGTGAATATGTCTGTTCGAAATGTTTAGCATACTTCCCGACATGCAACAAACTTGAAATTTGGCATGTGGCCAGCTTCCAGACTGTATACAATGCAAAACGTATAAAAATAGACTTTTGTATTTTGGGGGGGGGGGGGGGCGCAATAATGGATATATTTTGCAAGGTAAGTGAGCGGTGACGTCACATCTGTGATGTCACCCGCATGCGGCAGCGTCACGCAGTGTGCCTGCTGACGTCAGGCACCCCCCCCCACCCTCCGCGAAGGCCGTGTATTTATCCAAGACAAGAATCGAAGTCTCGGGCGAAGCCGGGTTGTAAAGCTATTTATACATAATTTCCGCCTCCGCGTTAGTGTTTTTACAATCACAGTTTTAACCTTACCGCGCTATTGGTGTCACATGAGATGAGATAAAAGTTTCATTTGGAACTGTCACAGAGCAGTGCAAACCCACTACGTTTGAGAATGGACCAAAGAAGCGGATGTCACAGAACTACCTCTGAGCGATATCTCTGAACAGTAAATCATAATTGGGATGTGATCATCAACTCAACACAGTTTAAAATGCAGTTTAATCACAGGTGGCTGTCTAGATTTTGACAAAGGTTCTCAAAAGTGCCAACTCAGCATTCGGTCCTCTGAGGCACTCAGACACCTCACCCTCCCCCCCTTATATGTCAGCTCCTTCTTACTCAACAACATTGCCAGTGCACGTTACGTTCTTATTCCACTACATACGCGGCTGATGTGAACAGCTTAAGGGTATTGAGCGGAGGCTAACCTTAGCTATCACGCTTACCCCAGCCATAACCCCTATTCCCAGTTCATCCTGTCATGTTACTAATAAAAATAAAACATCCGACAAGGTTACAAAAACTGATAAAAAATGCGTTAAACATAAAGAAAAATACAGAATAATGCAGTGAGATTGCTGTTTCAGACATCTCTTTACAATGATGTAATTCTAGCCTCTCGATTGAATGCAGAACTGGTCCAGTTTAGCGCAGCACAATGGGTTCCGTATGTTTGAACACAGGACATCGCATGCAGGCATGAGATACACCACGAGTTCTGCTTTGTGGAGATAACAATTACTGTACTCTGCATTCGTGCCCAATACATTGGTACGATGGGGGACCAGTCTCCCTAAAGGACAATCACTGTCCAGAGCGAAGGACTTTCATTTTAGAACCTGGTTCCCAGGTTAAAGGTAAAGGATTTTTTTTTTTATTCATAGGTTCTGTTTCGAATTGGTCTTGGGTTTGATCCCTGTGCCGAGAATTAGGGTGTTAACCCATTGGGTAACTCGGGTCAGCTCTTTAAATCTTGGTTCAACGGTTGAGTTTGTGGGTGACCTATGGATCTTGGAATCGTTTCATTCCTGGGTTTGGGGTTTATCATTTGAGTAAAGCTCGCTCTCCCTATCTCGATTTGATCTTGATTTGAAGCTTTCGTGACCGCAGGAATCCATACTCTTTGGTTCTTTCGGTACAGTCGCTCTCCCAATTAATAAGCCTCCATCTCAGCCAGTCTCTTGTTTCCGTCTCTCTCTTCCCGTCCCCAATCCCCCCTCCTCCCTCGGTGACTTGTGTCTCACCATATCCGCATCCCCTACCCCTCTGTCTATAGAGTTCTACTTTCCTCTGCCCTCTCGTGCCACGCCAGTTTAATTACCTTTAATGTCCCAGTCTCCCTGTCCCTTTACCCTGTCTCGTCTCACATAATCATATTATCCCGTCTCACGGTCACGCTTTTTCGTCACTCCATCAGCAATCACCCTACCTCAGTCATTCGGGCTCTTTTAGTTCATGTTCTCTCGTTTCCCTCCGCTCTGTCCGCCCAGCTCTCGTCTGCCCTTCCTTCTAGTTACCTGTTATCCCAAATCGTTGTCCTTCTGTCCCGTAATCTTAGCATCTCCCTATCCCCAATCTCCCTACACTGGTTGTTTCCTGCCTCCCCCGTACCCCTACTACATCCTCTCTCCCTAAGTATCCACCCTGTCTCTTTTCTCCCTGCCACCAAACCTATCACCGATGTCCCCTAGGCCCCGGGTGTGTCCCCGTGTCCCGCACCTTTCGCCTCGCAGTCGGCGCAGTACTTATTGTCCTCTTCTCGCAGCATCCCCACGAGCAGAGCCTGGTGCTGTTCATTCTGCTTGAGCGCCTTCTCGCGCTCCGAGCGCGTCGTCATCTTGCCCTTGGAACGGCGTTTACCGCGACCTCAGCTTAAATCGGCGATAACTCGCGATTGCGACGACGGGGCCCCGGAACAACGAGGGCTGTCCGCTGTGTTCTCGACGTGGTGGTGGTGTTGGTGGAGGGGGAAGAGATGCGGCGGCGGCGGCAGCAACTTGAGGCTGCGTCGGGCGGAGCCGGCGAGGACGTGAATATGGTGCGGCCGTCGATTGCATTTCCCACAGCCGATGGGCGCGGACTGTTTAAAAGAGGGGGGCGGGGCGGGGAGCGCGCGCGGCGCCATGTTGGGTAGGGTCGGGGCAGGCGACACAGCAGGCCGCCGTGATGACGTCAGGGGGAAGGGAGGGGACTCTGTTTAAGATGCGAACGCCCATCGGGGGTTGGGGAGGGGGCGAGGGGCCTTCCCTTTCCAACATGGCGGAAACCGCTTCAGTATCGCGCGCGTGTTTATGACGCGCATAAACGAGGCATAGGGAGGGGGGAGTTTTTTTTTTACAGATTCGCGCTGTGATTGGTTAAGCGCGCGCGCATGACGCGCCGCGGACCAATCGCGTTGCAAGACGGGGCGAGGTTGGCGCCTCGTCCGCGTGGGTAAAATGTAAGAGTGACGTTGGTGTTTTTTGTCGTCGATCCCGGTTCCTCGTGGATCCGCCGCGGACGTCAGAGGCGACGCTGCCCCAAACCGAATCGCCGTTGACGGTCGATGACTCGACAAAGGCCTTTGACGAAGAGGAACAATTGAACCGCTTCGACTGCGGGTGTCGCGTGCGTGACGTCATGTCGCCATTTCCGCGCATTGTCGCGGAAGTGATCCGTGGCGTCACTTGGAATGTAATTGCCCTATGGCATCACCACGCACACAACTGGCAATTACGTCATATAGTGGCCAGCTGGTAATTTACGTCACACGTGGCCACTATATAGTGACGCAAAATTAGTGATAATTGTGTCTGGTATCACCAGTGTCAGACGAGAGAACGCCAAAAGACAATGATGCACTAACAGATTATTTATAGCTCTGGGTTCGCTACAAAAAGGGACCTTTTTGCCGGTATGAAAATATAACAATAGGTTGTATCCTTTCTGGCAATAGGGGCCGTCCATAAATGACGTCACGCGATTTTGGACGATTTTTGATCCCCCCCCCCCCTTCGTCACACGTCACAAAAAGTCAGACCCCCCCTCCCCTCAAATATGACGTCACAAAGCTCTGCCCCCCCCCTCCCCCAAAATAAACCATGCTTCAAATCGCTTTAAACTATTGCCATTGTAGTGCGTACTTAATGTGGCGCTGCACTGATGTTGTAGGAGAAAACATTTATTAAAAAGTCTTTCATTAAGTAGAACGTGTTGTCTATATTTATTTAAAGTTGCGAGTTTTGATGTGACGGTCACATTTCTCACCCCCCCCCCCCTTCGTCACACATCGTCACAAATGTCTGACCCCCCCCCCCCCCTAGATGCGTGACGTCATTTATGGACGCCCCCTTATGGATGGTATTGGTCGCGAAAGCCAACTTGTTAAACTGACTGTGGGCTTCATCTTCTTGGTTCTTTCGGTAAAGTCACGTAGAACGGAAGTAATAAAATTATATATATAAAATCGCAAATCTGTCTGTCTGTGTGTGTGTCTGTCTGTTTGTGTGTGTGTCTGTCTGTGTGTCGCCGGACCATACGCAGTTTCATTGGACGAAATGTGAGGGATTTGCGAGACACGATTGGTCCGTTTGGTTTTCCACGGCGGTTGCCCCTGGCAACGGGTAGCGACGCATTCGCTGCGGGGTGGACGCCATTTTTAATTCCCGTTAAAAATATGCGCACGCATTAACACGCGACTCTGAGGTAAATTCATCAAAGTTTCACGTCCTCTTCACTCCCCCCCCCACCCCAATGTGTGCAATTACTATTATAGGGTCGGTAGATAATAAAATTATAGCGATTAGACAGTATTATTGTAGCACAGGGGGGGGGGGGGGGGTAACGGCCCCAGTACCCAGCCTCAGCCGGGTGGGCAATTTAGGCGAGGCCGGAGGCTCTGCACGGTACTAGGCCTCGACACTCCACCACACTATAGGCCGTACATATTACTGCACAGCGGCCGAGGAGATCGTGGCTGGGGGGGGGGGGGGGGGGGGCAGGGGTAGCAGCCCATCTGTGTATATATGTAAGGTTATTAAGAAATATATTTTTCACCCGGGCAACGCCGGGAACTTTCTACAAGCAAACTGAGGGCACCCCAATGGGCTCCCCCCTATCTCCGGTTGTAGCCAACGTTTTCATGGAAACATTTGAGACTGACGCCATCCAGACTGCCACTCTACGCCCGACCTTATGGAAGAGGTACGTAGATGACACTTTTGTCATCTGGCCACATGGCCGGCCAGCTCTAGGCCAATTTCTCAACCACATCAATTCCATACACCCAGCCATCAGATTCACCATGGAAGTCGAAAAAGATGGCAAGCTACCCTTTTTGGATGTCCTAATTAAAAGGAGACCTGATGGTTCAATGAGCCACTCTGTCTACAGGAAAGCCACCCATACGGATGCTTACCTAAAACCGGAGTCCCACCACCATCCATCCCAGAAAAATTCCCTCATCAAGACTCTATACCATAGAGCCCAATGCATATCCGACCAGGAACACATTGCCAGTGAACTCAAACACGTACGCCAAGCTCTTATGGCTAATGGTTACTCTGACTACACAATCCGCAAAGCCATCACTCCAACCATCAAGAAGGATCCTGTTGAGGAGCCTTTCAAGACCATCACCTTACCCTACATTGCTGGGGTCACAAAAAAGATCTCCAAAATCCAGATAAAACACAAGATCTAGGTTTGATTCAACACAATACATAAAATCCGTGATCTGGTCCCGTCTGTAAAAGATGTGGATCCAGACATACAGTACCCTGGCGTCTACAAACTAAGTTGCCTCTGTGGTAGCAGTTACATTGGAGAAACCAAACGACATGTCTCGGACCGCATCCGTGAACATAAAGCAGACTTGAAACACGGTAGGACAAACACCTCAGCCGTGGCAGATCACTGTTACAATTCAGTGGGCTCACATGATATTGACTTCTCCAAGACAGAGGTTCTCTGCAAGCCATCTGGCTACCATGAGAGATTCGTTCATGAGGCGATCCACATATACAAACACGGAGACAATTTCAACCGAGAAGATGGATTCTGGCTTAGCAATCATTGGAAGGACGTAATAAACCATTTCGGATCTTAACTGATTGTGTTCACGTTTACGGTGACTTTCAGACCGCGTTCCACTCACTGGCATTGTATTCTCCGCAGGGAATGGATTCTTTGCTCCGCTGCAAGTTTCCTTCCCCTACTCTCCCATTGACATATTTCGTTGCTTCCTCTTAGTATCTTTCACATGACGGTCAATGGTACAGTGTATAATAACAAATAGTATAACATGCGTATGCTTAATACAATGTACAAAGTAATATATAGTATCGTAATTGTATGGTGAATATACAGCAGTGTGATATACATTAGGGTGGGTAGAATAATACATAGTGTAATATTACAATGTATAAGGTTTAGGGTGGTTTATAGCAATACAGTATATAATTAAATGTTGGGTTTGTCTATGGCAGTATATAGTACGATGTAGACTCGTGTGATGTAAGAGAATAAAGTTTAGATGGAAGCATATTATATTTTTTACGACGTAGAATTGTAATGTATTACTTACTGTTAGTAACTCAGCTTATTGTAGAGTATATTTAGTATACTGATGATACTATGTAGTTTATACTTTAGTTGTTTACGTGGTGGTTTTAGTTACTGCAGCTATATACTATTAACACTTCTTCCCTTTATTAATGCTACCCCTATCCCCTCCCTTTGATGCTGCTAATCCTGCATAATGCACGGGCATAAGTAGTACTAATCACATACCTGCATTTCCCATATCCCCTCCCTTTGATGCTGCTAATCCTGCATAATGCACGGGCATAAGTAGTACTAATCACATACCTGCATTTTTCATATCCCCTCCCTTTGATGCTGCTAATCCTGCATAATGCACGGGCATAAGTAGTACTAATCACATACCTGCATTTCCCATAAATATGCTAAATTTCTCTTGATATGCAAATTATTTTGTCAAGGCGCCCTTTCCCTCTATTCCAACCCAGCTTATATACATGCTCCAAGCACGTGTGCTGTTTCATTCAGACGCTGTCGCCTCGACAGACCTGGTTTTCATCTGAGGACGGCTGCTTGCGTTGTGGCCGAAACGTCGTGAGAATTGTTTTATTATGTTTTATTTTGTATTATTTTATTACTTCCCTTCTACGTGACTTTACCGAAAGAACCAAGAAGATGAATCCCTGCAGTCACGAAAGCATTAAATCGAAATTTGACTGTGGGCTCTACCGCCGTCTCCTGGTATGCCGGAGTATGGCACCTCGACGCACATTGGAAGGAAGTTTCGCAACATTTATGTGGGCCACCAATCTATCCTAAAAAAATGTCAGCGAGTACGTGATGCATTGTTATAATCAGTAATGAGTGGTGAGTGACGAGGATTAGGTGAGTCATTCGGGTTCAGTCGTGTTTGGTGAGTGGAAATTGGAAGTGGAAGGAAGCTTGCCTTCACGTGGCCCACTCTGTTAAGTGAGAAATAACAACGAATGCCATCAACGCGGCGACCGAACGAGCTCTCAGTCTCCAGAGCAACGACACAAGCCACGCCAATGGCCCTGTTCATGGCCAAACAACGTGCCAGATAGGCCCTGGGACAGGTTTCCTCAAACTGAACATTGAGGGACGTGCGAGTATCTCGCGAACACAATGAACAAACATTACATTAATGTCCTGGCACTCCAAGAAACCCATGTCTTGGCTGCCCGACATATCACCACTAGTAAGTAGTGAGTGGGATATATAGCGCAGTGGTTAGTGCACTGCACTCTGTGTGTATGTTTAACCTTTTTCGTACCGTACGTAGCCAACAAAGCTAATCAAAGGGGCTCTGTATCCGGCGAAGCTCGTTCTATTCCCGCTCACGACCAATATCAGTGGCGAATATCTGAACCGGCCCAGGGCCGCGCATAGGTCGACGCAGCCTCAAGTGATTACTTACCAGAGGTGGGACAAAGTCATTGTTATGCAAGTCCAAGTCGAGTCTGAAGTCATCAAATTCATGACTCGAGTCTGACTCGAGTCCAAGTCACATGACTCGAGTCCACA